AAATCATAGAATCATAGAATCAAAGAGTTGGAAGAGACCTCATGGGCCATCCAGTCCAATCCCATTCTGCCAAGAAGCAGGAATATTGCATTCAAATCACCCCTGACAGATGGCCATCCAGCCTCTGTTTAAAAGCTTCCAAAGAAGGAGCCTCCATCACACTCTGGGGCAGAGAGTTCCACTGCTGAACGGCTCTCACAGTCAGGAAGTTCTTCCTCATGTTCAGATGGAATCTCCTCTCTTGTAGTTTGAAGCCATTGTTCCATTGCGTCCTAGTCTTCAGGGAAGCAGAAAACAAGCTTGCTCCCTCCTCCCTGTGGCTTCCTCTCACATATTTATACATGGCTATCATATCTCCTCTCAGCCTTCTCTTCTTCAGGCTAAACATGCCCAGCTCCTTAAGCCGCTCCTCATAGGGCTTGTTCTCCAGACCCTCGATCATTTTAGTCGCCCTCCTCTGGACACATTCCAGCTTGTCAATATCTCTCTTGAATTGTGGTGCCCAGAATTGGACACAATATTCCAGGTGTGGTCTAACCAAGGCGGAATAGAGGGGTAGCATTACTTCCCTAGATCTAGACACTAGGCTCCTCTTGATGCAGGCCAAAATCCCATTGGCTTTTTTTGCCGCCGCATCACTTTGTTGGCTCATGTTTAACTTGTTGTCCATGAGGACACCAAGATCTTTTTCACCAGTTTTCCTTTAGTTCTGCTGCATAGGTATAATTTAGTTTCTTATGCCATATTTCTTCCCACTGATGGACACTGATTGACCTATGTCTCTGGACCACTTTATCATATTTTCCTTGTTTTTAAGTCTCTTCTGCTGTGTTTTTCAGTGTTTTTATGAATGATGGTCACTTGTTGGCCTGATAAGTGTATTGTGTACAAATTTGATGTCAATTCATCCAGTGGTTTTTTAATTATATTAATCCCACAAACGAACATTACATTTTTATTTATATAGATGTGGCTAATGAAGATGGAGGGGAATTTACTCAAATGTGCAAATCATATATTTTGGATGACTATCTGTTGGAAGTGCGTTGATTGTGTTTTCCTTCATACTAGATGGTTGGACTAGATGCCCTTTCTATGATCTGAAAAGTCAGAGGGTTGTAGGTTTTTCGGTCTGTATGGCCATGTTCTAGAAGCATTCTCTCCTGACATTTCACCTGCATCTATGGCAGGCATCCTCAGAGGTTGTGAGGTCTGTGTCAGATTTCTTCATCTCTTCTTAATTCACCTTCATGCCATCAAAGGAAGGGGATTATATGCTTGGATTTATTTATTTATCGTGTCATCAGCAACCAGACCATTGTATTACATTTCTAACAGAACAAAACAAAACAAAAAACAGATAAAAAACCCACAAATTTTGCAAACTTGGCAGCTGATTAAATGTCCTTTGACCAGTATCTGGCCACTTGGAGTGCCTCTGGTGTTGCCGCAAGGAGGTCCTCCATTGTGCTTGTGGCAGGGCTCAGGTTGCATTGCAGCAGGTGGTCAGTGGTTTGCTCTTCTCCACACTCACAGGTCGTGGATTCCACGGATTGAGGTTCTGGGTGTGAGCCTGCCACTTTTGGACTCTCGCTTGCTGGGGTGTTCCAGCGAGTGTCTCTGTAGATCTAAGAAAACTATGTCTTGATTTAAGTCGTTGACGTGCTGGCTGATACCCAAACAGGGGATGAGCTGGAGATGTCTCTGCCTTGGTCCTTTCACTATTGGCTGCTACTTCCCAGCGGATTTCAGGTGGTGCAATACCGGCTAAGCAGTGTAATTTCTCCAGTGGTGTAGGGCACAGACACCCCGTGATAATGCGGCATGTCTCATTAAGAGCCACATCCACTGTTTTAGCGTGGTGAGATGTGTTCCACACTGGGCATGCATACTCAGCAGCAGAGTAGCATAGCGCAAGGGCAGGTGTCTTCACTGTGTCTGGTTATGATCCCCAGGTTGTGCCAGTCATCCTTAAATGTATGAGGCCTCTGTGTGAAGGCTCCTTGCTCTGTGTTGCTGCCATCTTTGAAATCTTTTGATTGAAGACCGTCATTCAAGGAGTTATGTGCAATCTCCACATGACAAGCAAGCCTGGGCCATGGTTTCTTTAGAAAAGCAGCTGCCACGATGGGTTTCTCACCAAAGTAATCTCCAGGAGACCCAATTCTCAGTTCCTCTTGTTGATCTCTCAGGGGATGTTCTATACCCATAGACAACCGTGTAGTATTTAGTTTCACCAACTCCGAGGGAGTTCTATTTTCCTCCCATCCCATCCACGCCCAGTTATTTTAGGCTCCCGCTGATGTGAATAATTATGCTCAATTGTGTTAGACCAACACAGAGCCGATGTGGTGCGATGGATCACGTTTGGTTGCATTGATGTGGCCGACCCAGCGTGCGCTCTCTACCCATCTCTGAAACGTTTGCCATCTGCAAACACCCAGCTCCACCACCACAGCTCTGGTTATCTTGGGAAGGATTTAATACTGCTGTATGGGTCTGAGATGTTTAAAAGCCCAAAATAGCCTGGGTGGGACTTCTCTTTGGAAGAGCACTATCTTCTCTCTGGACACTGAGATGCTCCAATGCACTTTCATTGGTAGAGATCCAATTCTGTGTCATTTGGGAGCAGGACTACTTGAGAGTAGGGTTGAGCAATCCGGGTAAACCTTGACCCATTTCATGTTCCAGATTTTGGTGGGGTGCCTGATACATTTTTTGAGAGGTAGGGCAGATATCCATTTTTGCTCTGGAGTGCTGAAAGACTCATTTATATTGGCCCACTAGCTGTCTCCTGCCACACGTTGCTGTGGCTGAGTCTGGTGACCTGGAAAATGATTAGAAAGTGTTGGTTTCTAATATATGTAATTTTTTATGCTTGTGGGTAAACAATATTTCTTGTTCTTTCTTTGTCAGTGTTGATGTAGAGATTGTCTGGTTTGCCTACTCTAGAACATGCAACATATCATTGTCCTTCTTTAGGGGTCCCTTTCAAATCTGATACTATAACTCTGTGTGTGAATCATATATATCTATCTATATCTATGGCTGGATGGCTCTTTGTCAGGAGGGCTTTGATGATCCTTTCTTGCCCTGATGAAGGGGACTGGATGGCTTTAAGTATTTTCTGTTGGTCCTGGGGGTTCTGTGTGGAAAGTTTGCCCCAATTCTGTTGTTGGTGGGGTTCAGAATGCCAGTATTCATGCCAAGTTTGGTCCAGATCCATAATTGTTTGTGTCCACTGTGCTCTCTGGATGTAAGTGAACTACAACTCCCAAACTCAAGGTCAATGCCCATCAATGCCCATGTTGGTCATGGGAGTCCTGTGTGCCACATTTGGTTCAATTCCATCATTGCTGGAGTTCAGAATGCTCTTTGATTGTAGGTGAACTATAAATCCCACAACTACACCTCCCAAATGACAAAATCAATTTTTTGAGTGATGGTCACTCCTTGGGTTAGTAGGTGTCTTGTGGCCAAATTGGGCAATTCATCCAGTAGTTTTTGAATTATGTTAATCCCACAAATGAATATTATATTTTTATTTTTATAGATTTTTTGGGGGGGGGGGCTCCCCAGGCTCCCCTTCTTGTCATTTTAGGCATTTAAGCTGTTAGTGTTTCTACTCTAGAGAGATGCTCCACTGCAAGAAGGCACACACTTTGAGGAGGCTTCTTACCTGTTTCTCTACTCTAGAGGAGACACACTTCACTACAGGCAGGAGCGCATGCTTTCGGGCCTGCATGACACACACACAGTCACACACACACACTCTCTTTCCAAAGCCAATGGGATTTTGGCCTGCATCAAGGGGAGTCTAGTGTCTAGATAAGCGTTTCTCAACGTGGGGGTTGGGACCCCTGGGGTGTCCGAGGAGTCATCAAAAACCATCAGAAAATACAGTATTTTCTGTTGGTCATGGGGGTTCTGTGTGGGAAGTGTGGCCAATTCTATCGTTGGTGGGGTTCAGAATGCTCTTTGATTGTAGGTGAACTATAAATCCCAGCAGCTACAACTTCCAAATGTCAAGGTCTATTTTCCCCAAACTATACCAGTGTTCACATTTGTGCATATTGAGTATTCGTGCCAACTTTGGCCCAGATCTATCATTGTTTCAGTCCGCAGTGCTCTCTGAGTGTAGGTGAACTACAACTCCAAAACTCAAGCTCAGTGCCCACCAAACCCTTCCAATATTTTCTGTTGGTCATGGGAGTTCTGTGTGCCAAGTTTGGTTCAATTCCATCAGTGGTGGAGTTCAGAATGCTCTTCGACTGCAGGTGAACTATAACTCCCAGTAACTATAACTCCTAAATGACAAAATCAATCCCTCCCCCCAACCCCACCAGTATTCAAATTTGGGCATATTGGGTATTTGTTCCAAATTTGGTCCAGTGAATGAAAATACATCTTGCAAATATTTACATTACAATTCATAATTCATGTGAGAGGAAGCCACAGGGAGGAGGGAGCAAGCTTGTTTTCTGCTTCCCTGGAGACTAGGATGCGGAACAATGGCTTCAACTACATGAGAGGAGATTCCATCTGAACATGAGGAAGAACTTTCTGACTGTGAGAGCCGTTCAGCAATGGAACTCTCTGCCCTGGAATGTGGTGGAGGCTCTTTCTTTGGAAGCTTTTAAACAGAGGCTGGATGGCCATCTGTCAGGGGTGATTTGAATGCAACATTCCTGCTTCTTGGCAGAATGGGGTTGGACTGGATGGCCCATGAGGTCTCTTCCAACTCTTTGATTCTATGATTCTATAACAATAGCAAAGTTACAGTAATGATGTAACAACAGAAATAATTCTATTGTTGGGGGCCACCACAACATGAGAAACTGTGTTAAGGGGTCCTGGCATTAGGAAGGTTGATAAACTCTGCATTAAGAATGCCCTTAGCTAGAATCCTTTTGGCGTCTTGCACATTTGTAAATTCCCCTACGGTATTTACATTTTTCTGCAAAGTAAAGATGGCTATTTTGCATCAAACAGAGAAGATGCTAAAAAAGCATCTGGTTCTGGACATTTAGAGGCATTCCATGATGGAGCTGCAACGTCCAGAATCCCTCCCAGCCAGCTGGTTGGTATTCATGCTGGTTGGGGCTGTTGTGGGGGCTGCAGTCCGGAAAGTGCAAATCCAGGTTTTGTGTCCTTGCCGTGGTGATGGGGGATGCATCATGGACTTCCTTCCCCCTCAGTTCCAGGCAGGTGGAAAGAATGATTTCATACTTCGAGTACGTCCTCTTGAAAGCTGCCACCAACACATGAAAAATGCATTTGGATTCTCGCTCGAGATTCCGGAAGGAGGAGGCCTCCTGGCCAGCTGAAGCATCTCTCCTGGATTCTCCTCTCTTCTTGGATCGGAGCTGCACCTTGCGTCTACAAAGGAAGGCCTCTTCCAAAAGATTTAGGAGCCTTCATGGGGTTTTGCTGGTAGTTCTGCCCAGCAAGTGCTACTGCTTTGCCGCTGGTGCGCCACAGAGCTATTCCCCTCCTGCCGGCTTGGCGAAGGAAGGGAAGCTAAAGTGATGTGTCAGTGTTGGAGGAGGCTTGCTTGCCAAACACACTGGCCTCGGAACAGGATGATGTGGACGCTGTGCATTCCTCCCCTCCCACTCCAGTGCAGAACTATCACCTTAAAGCAGTGGTTCTCAACCTTCCTAGTGCCATGACCCCTTAATACAGTTCTTCATGTTGTGGTGACTCCAATCGTAAAATTATTTTCATTGCTACTTCTTAACTGTACTTTTGCTACTGTTATGAATCGTAATGTAAATATCTGATAGGCAGGATGTATTTTCATTCACTGGACCAAATTCGGAACAAATACCCGATACGCCCAAATCCCATGGGCTTTTTTTGCCACCACATCACATTGTTGGCTCATGTTTAACTTGTTGTCCACGAGGACTCCAAGATCTTTTCCACACATACTGCTCTCAAGCCAGGCATTGTCCCCCATTCTGTATCTTTGCATTTCGTTTTTCCTGCCAAAGTGGAGTATCTTGCATTTGTCCCTGTTGAACTTCTTTTTGTTAGTTTTGCTAGTATTCTGCACTATATTCTTTCATGTGAGAAGAGGACACACCCTCCAGGTCCATAATATGGCAGCCTTTCATACATTTAAACCTGGCTATCATGATCCCTCTTGACTTTCTCTTTTCCAAGATAAACAAAACATATCCAGCTCCCTCAGCCACTCAATGGCTTCCAGACCTTTGAAAACATTGGTTGCCCTTCTCTGGACACCTTCCAGCTTGTCCATATCCTTCTTAAGTGTGGCATCCACAACTGGACATAGGATTCTAAGTGAGGTCTTACCAAAGCTCAATAGAGTAGTTCTATTACTTCCCTCAATCTGGACCAAGCATTAGCAAACTTCAGTCCTCCACATGTTTTGGACTTCAACCCTCACAATTCCTAACAGCCTACTGGCTGTTACAAATTGTGGGAGTTGAAGTCCAAAACACCTGGAAGACCCAAGTTTGCCCATGCTTGATCTAGACACTATATCCATTTGGATTCATCCTGGAATTGCATTGGCATCACGCTGTTGACTCATGTTGAGCTTGTGATCTGCTAAGGCGCCTAGATCCCTTTACATGTACTGCTTTTAAGCTAGGTGTCACTCATCCTGTATCTGTGCATTTCATTTATATGAGAAGTGTAAGGCCTTCCTACAAAGTGTAATGCCTTACATTTACCCCCGTTGGCAATAATTTTATTGGTTTTGGTCCAGCCCTCTAATCTGTTAATCATTTTGGATTTAATTTGTATATGTGTATCTTTTAAATTGTGTGCTGATGTTTTCATGTTAAGCTGCTTTGAGTCACCTGTGGGTGAGATAAAGCAGGGTGATGATGATGATGATGATTCTTGCAGCCCAGGACCAAGCCATCAGAACAAAGGCCATTAAGGCCAGGATTGAAAAATCAGCTGATGACCCAAAATGCATACTGTGCAAGGAAGCTGATGAAACCATGGATCATCTCCTTAGCTGCTGCAAGAAAATCGCACAGACGGACTACAAACAGAGGCACAACTCTGTGGCCCAAATGATTCAGTAGAACTTATGTCATAAGTACCACCTGTCAGTAATAAAGAATTGGTGGGATCATATACCTGCAAAGGTAGTGGAAAATGAACACACAAAAATACTGTGGGACTTTCGAATCCAGATTAACAAAGTTTTGGAATACAATACGCCAGACATCACGATTGTAGAAAATAAAAAAGTTTGGATTATTGATGTCACCATACCAGGTGACAGTCGCATTGAGGAAAAACAACAGGAAAAACTCAGCCATTATCAGGACCTCAAAATTGAACTGCAAAGGCTATGGCATCAACAAGTACAGGGGGTCCCAGTGGTCATTGGCACACTGGGTGCCATACCAAAAGATCTCAGCCAAAACCATAAACATTGACAAAATCACAATCTGTCAACTGCAAAATGTCACCTGACTTGGATCTGCACACATCATTCGAAAATACATCACACAATCCTAGACACTTGGGAAGTGTTTGACTTGTGATTTTATGATACGACATCCAGCATAGAGATCTCGTTTGCTGTAACATACTGTGGTTTTGTGTCAGTAAAATAATAACCATCATCATCATCATCATCATCATCATCATCATCATGTCCTCTGGGGTCCTAGCTATTACTCCAAATTTGGTGCCATTTGCAATTTTGATTTGTATGCATTGCCTTCTATTCCATCATCCAAATAATGGATAAAGATACTGGGCCCAGGACTGAAGCTTGTGGCACCCCATTGGTAATTTCTCTCCAGGAGGAAGAGGAGTATGTTTTGGACTCGGCCAGTTAACGAGTTGCCAGTGTACTTAACAGTAGCATTATCTAACACACATTTTACTAGTTGACCTGCAACATTTGCATCCAATCCCATGGTGAAGCCATCTGAAACTGAGCAGAGATAGGACCACACTCTGGATCCCAAAGTTCTCTCTTATCCCGAACTGAGAAAGCAGTTCTGAGTTCATGAGACAGGAAGGGTGCAGTTGACCATAGTTTCCCCCTTCTTGCATTATCCAACCCACATTTTGCTAGTTTACTTGCAACATTGCCAACTAATTCCATGCTGAAGCCATCTGAAACTGAGCAGAGATAGGACCACACTCAGGATCCCAAAGCTCTCTCTTATCCCAAACTGAGAAAGCAGTTCTGAGTTCATGAGATAGGAAGGGCGCAGTTGACCATAGTTTCCCCCTTCTTGCATTATCCAACCCACATTTTGCTAGTTTACTTGCAACATTGCCAACTAATTCCATGCTGAAGCCATCTGAAACTGAGCAGAGATAGGACCACACTCAGGATCCCAAAGCTCTCTCTTATCCTGAACTGAGAAAGCAGTTCTGAGTTCATGAGATAGGAAGGGTGCAGTTGACCATAGTTTCCCCCTTCTTGCATTATCCAACCCACATTTTGCTAGTTTACTTGCAACATTGCCAACTAATTCCATGCTGAAGCCATCTGAAACTGAGCAGAGATAGGACCACACTCTGGATCCCAAAGCTCTCTCTTATCCCGAACTGAGAAAGCAGTTCTGAGTTCATGAGACAGGAAGGGCGCAGTTGACCATAGTTTCCCCCTTCTTGCATTATCCAACCCACATTTTGCTAGTTTACTTGCAACATTGCCAACTAATTCCATGCTGAAGCCATCTGAAACTGAGCAGAGATAGGACCACACTCAGGATCCCAAAGCTCTCTCTTATCCCGAACTGAGAAAGCAGTTCTGAGTTCATGAGACAGGAAGGGTGCAGTTGACCATAGTTTCCCCCTTCTTGCATTATCCAACCCACATTTTGGTAGTTTACTTGCAACATTGCCAACTAATGCCATGCTGAAGCCATCTGAAACTGAGCAGAGATAGGACCACACTCAGGATCCCAAAGCTCTCTCTTATCCTGAACTGAGAAAGCAGTTCTGAGTTCATGAGACAGGAAGGGTGCAGTTGACCATAGTTTCCCCCTTCTTGCATTATCCAACCCACATTTTGGTAGTTTACTTGCAACATTGCCAACTAATGCCATGCTGAAGCCATCTGAAACTGAGCAGAGATAGGACCACACTCAGGATCCCAAAGCTCTCTCTTATCCTGAACTGAGAAAGCAGTTCTGAGTTCATGAGACAGGAAGGGTGCAGTTGACCATAGTTTCCCCCTTCTTGCATTATCCAACCCACATTTTGCTAGTTTACTTGCAACATTGCCAACTAATGCCATGCTGAAGCCATCTGAAACTGAGCAGAGATAGGACCACACTCAGGATCCCAAAGCTCTCTCTTATCCCGAACTGAGAAAGCAGTTCTGAGTTCATGAGACAGGAAGGGTGCAGTTGACCATAGTTTCCCCCTTCTTGCATTATCCAACCCACATTTTGCTAGTTTACTTGCAACATTGCCAACTAATTCCATGCTGAAGCCATCTGAAACTGAGCAGAGATAGGACCACGCTCTGGATCCCAAAGCTCTCTCTTATCCCAAACTGAGAAAGCAGTTCTGAGTTCATGAGACAGGAAGGGTGCAGTTGACCATAGTTTCCCCCTTCTTGCAAGCCAAGTATCTCCATAAGAACAATCCACTGCCATTATGAACAGCCAGTGACCCTACTTGACTCAAGACGAAGGCCCCCTGCCACCGCCTATTGTGAGGCACGCTGCTTTCGGCAAGGTTGCTTGGCTGATGTGAGCAGAAATGTGTGGATTAACCCAGTTTGGCGCTGAGTTCAACAGGTGGCCACTGAGGTTCCGGGTGGGAAAACAGGCTTATTGTTCAGGCTTTTAATGAGTTGTTGAGTCACCGGCCAGTGGCGGGCGTTCAAAACCAGAAAGGAAACAATCTCGCAGGCCTGTCCTGCCAAAGTTTTCCTTCTGAAGTATGCGCTTGCCCAGTGGGGGAACTCCGTGGTGTGCACACGGATGTTGCCAAATATAGAGAACAGCAAAGGGGGAGTTTCCCCTTTAGTTGTGAAAGCAAGTGTAGAGAAGCAGGTGATATGCTCACTCCGCATTTCCAGGATTGAAAAGGACACAAAGAGATCAGGGACCAATTGGAGACTACTTCAGGGGAACAAAAGGAGAGCTCTGTGGTGTGGTGGAGGCTCCTTCTTTGGAAGCTTTTAAACAGAGGCTGGATGGCCATCTGTCAGGGGTGATTTGAATGCAATATTCCTGCATCTTGGCAGAATGGGGTTGGATTGGATGGCCCATGAGGTCTCTTCCAACTCTTTGATTCTATGATTCTGTGGTTGGATCAGACCACACTCCCTTTAGTGTTTCGTTTGCCACACTTCATCAATTCGAAGCTTCCAGAAAGTCCAAGAGATTGCCAAGAAAGCAATGTAACAGGTG